AGAAGGAAGCTAGTTTTAAAACTGAGAACGTGCTCCAGCCAGTGTTCTTGTTGCATTCAAAATACTGGAAATGCAAAAGGCACTGAGAACATACAGGCCACATTCACATCATTCATTCAGGACCTCCGAACAACTCTCAGCACCCATAATGAACTATAGCTCCCAGAATTCTATAGAGGAAGCCATGGCGGTTTAAAGTGGTATAATAGTGCTTTAAACGTATGGTGCAAATGTGACCATAGTCAGAAATAGTATAGAAGATTTCAGAGGTTCATGGTTTCTAGAACGATCTGACTGAAGACATCCACCAATGGAATTTCATTGATTTGAACCCCTGACCTAATCCATTTCGCTGAATTGCCATTAACACTGTGCTCAAAATTTTAAAAGCAATCCACAATGTTCCCACGCTCTGAATCAGTGTTTCCCAACCTTTGGTCTCCAGCTATTTTCGGACTACAATTCCCATCATCCCTTGCTAGCTAGGGAAGATGGGAGTTGTGGTCCAAAAACAGCTGGAGACGCAAGGTTGGGAAACACTGCAGACAGTGGATTACAACCCCTCATATTGGTTGTGAGACATTTGCATTTCGCTATGAGTCATAAGAATGATCTAATATAGTTGTAAGATAGAAGACATGGCACAGTTCTCCATTGCTAGTGATGTATACATTTTAGCCACCTAGTTCTGTGGAGACGAAGGTGTGGCACTACAGCTGTATTTCAGTTTAATGAGGTAGGTTCTTATGAAACCTAGAGGATTTATTAACGTAACTAAAGCCCTACTGAATCATGCCAAAAAAAACATCTAGTCTAGTGGGAGGAGCACTATTGCACAACTCTGGTCCTGCTTGAGAGTTTACCATAGGCATCTGATGGTGACTGTGAGAACATATTGCTGGTCTAGATGGGCTTTTGACCCAATCCAGCAAGGCTTTGTTGTTTCTCTTACATTCATATAAGTTGTACATACTTTGGCTATATAAAATGCAGGCGTCCCCCCAACTGGAATGCAAAATGCTGTTGCTTTCACCCAAACCCTTTGGCTTGACTCTTAACTCCCCTGCTACAGTAGGACTGGCCACCTGTAATTTTGCACTAGCAATTGGTCCCTGACCCAAAAAGGCAACATGTAGGTAGGTTTCAGGTGATGTGAGGAAAAATAACCTCTCCTGTTCCCTTGGCACTGCATCCCAGTACCTCTCAGCCAACAGAAAGTCAAGGAATGTGCTGAGAGAATCAGCATTTTCAGTGCCTTCATTTTTATCAGCCAAGATCATATTATTGTGATCAATGTAGGATTAGAAGTTCTCAGGCAAGAGACAGGCCTCTTTCTCGAGAAGAGCTACAAATCTTCATATTAACGTGACTAGTTTGAAAGTTAAGAGCAAATCTGCAAACTGGAATGCACTCCACTTGTAATGGGAACAAAACGCTGGCAGTGAAATACAAAGAGGGGAAGAGAGACCTAAATCACAGCACAATGACCTCCCTTAAGGCATCTGCCAAAGAGACGGTGTTTTTTAGGCAGCTTCTGTGAAACAGCGTCTTGATGTCTATGCCACGTAGTGATTTATTATTGTGCCTGAGAAACTGGAGCGGTGGGGTGGGGGGTGTCAGTAGTATGTGCCTAAGCAACCCTGAGCCTTTGGTCATAGAAAAGACTTCAGCGTTGTGGGCACCACACCCACACCTACTGATGTGGTCCCAGTTTTTTCTTTAGAGGCACCTAATTAAGAAAACCTTGACTCATTTACATGGATACGTTTGATCTAAATTACACTCCAAACCACACCAAATTAAGAGCATCTGTGAACGTGAAATGTTTGTTCCCTTCGACTGGTAGAGTGGGGCCGGCTCTGGGCTGCACATGTTCAAGTGACGAAAAATATTTCAGATGTAGCATGCTTCTCAGACCTACTTTTCCACTAATAATTTGCAGGGAGCTCAACTAGTATCTCTCTTTCTCCCCGCAATCATTACAGGCTGTCTAAAAAAAGTTTCACTTTTCTTCTTCTTCTAAAGCCAAAAAAGAAAAGAGGTAAGTGGCCACCTACTTTGTTGATACTGATGTGGTCACTGCCAGAAAAGCAAATCCAACAGTTGTCAAGAGTTGTCGCTGACATATAGGGCTAATTCCAACTAAATACTTTCCCAGAACTGAGCAAGGAATCTTTCCTCTAGTTTAGTGATCTTTCTTGCAAAATCCACAAGTATTTTGCATTTTCTGATGTATTTTTTTCATGCATATATCTCTACCAAAATAGGCAGGGGGGTGTTACATTGGAATTGGCTCAGTCTTCTCTTTGGAAATCATTCAGGAATCCGAACCAATAGCTATCATTTGGGCTCTTTCACAGATTGCATTTTACTCCTCAAGTTCTGCATGAAGAGTACCTGCTTTGATTTGGTAGCTGCAGTAACTCCTTTAAACACCAGGTCAAGGCAATTCACTAGGAGGATAAACAAGAATCTGTATGCACAGTTGTCTGTCCACAGCAGAGGCTAGTACATTTTAATTTGGTACCCTTCCAGGTTTGTTTTCGACATGCGTTCAGTGGTAAAGAACCAAAATGTCAACACCACAGACCATACTGAAAATACTTTGCACAGGACTAGTGTCAAGGGTTAGCATTGTTGGGCTTCTTTCAAGAGCCCAATCCCAGCAGAGGCCCACTCAGAAGAATCTGCTAGACCTGCTCCTCATCTTCAGCACTGCAACCTGCCTTTTCACTCATCTCTCACCATAGCCTAGCAATAGCAATGGTCAAAGGAGGGGCTGTAGATAATATAGCCTGCTAGATCACTGGCTTTCTGCCTGGTAGCAATGATGAAGTTCAGAACAGCAGCTGGTGATAATGGTGGTAAGGATGTAGATTCACTTAGGGGGGTGGGTGGGGGCAAGAGGCTCCTTGATTTAGGGCCTTCCAAAACCTGGAGCAGATGTGACCTTTGTAAAGTTGTTATCTCTCTATCTACCAATCCAACTGCAGTGGCCTATTGTGGGCTTCCTTCGCTTCCTGGTTTTGCTGCATACATGGATGGGACTGTGACAGGAGAGGGAATGACAATATATGGCTTGATGACTCCATTCAGCTTTGTCATATGTTTTGTTAGACTGCCCTATGTGACATAGCGAAATGCATTTATAAACACAGTTTTGCGTATCATTAATATTCTACAAAGCTATGTTTATAAACATACTTTGATATGTTGTCTAGAATTGTGGCTCAGTTTTGGAAGTCTATATGGCAGCATGGAACTCCTGAGAGTCTATTTATACACACTGAGAGTATCTGCATATTTATGGTAGTTTATTAGTTATCATTTTAAAGGAGATTGTTGATGTTGGTATTGTTGGTATGGCTACTTAGAACTTAAAAAGAATCCTGCTTGATCAGAGCAATGGCCCATCTGACACACCATCCTTTACTTATAGTGGCCAACCAGGTGTCTATGGGGAGGCCACAAACAGGGCCTGAGTGCAAAAGAATACCCCACAAGTGTCCTGGAAAAACCGGGATATCTTCTTTTTTTGTGTACGAGAACAGAGGCCATTTTTGGCGTTGTGATTTTGCAGAGTTTTGCACTGAGATCTCACCCTGGAAAAAGCATCTCTTTGGGGTGGATGGTATGAAACAGCACTCACTGCTCCTACTTGCTTACTACACAGACACAACTTTGCTGCTTTCCCATCATTAGGAGACCCCCATCATTAACATATATATTTGTGTTTTTTAAATTCTCATTAGGGCAAGATAGAAGCACTGCCTTAAAGTCAGGGCTTTTCCCCCAGCCAGAACTCAGTTCCAGTACCTCTCAGGTGGGTGGCATTGCCATTATAAGAGAACAAGGGAGGTGTTCATGGTGAGTTCTGGCACCTCTTTATTCTAGAAAAATAGTACTGCTTAAAACTATTATACTGAGAGGAAAGGGAACATGAGGTTAAACCATTTTTTACAAGCCCTTTTGATTTTATGGTGTTCACAGCCAAACCCCTGGATTTGGCCCAGTGTGTTCTGAACTGGGACAAAGTTCAAAGACGACAGGCTTGAATTTCAGCCAGCTTCATATTTTCCCCTTCTTCCCTTTTGCTCTGCAAACAGTTTGAATTACATAATTTCAGTATCAGAATGAGCTATAGTTTACCTGTCAGTATTTTACCTTTCACATTCAAGCTGCGACCGATACTCGATCCCATAAGACCTTGTTCTTGCATATTATTAAAAATTGCTCCATGGCTTTTTAAGCAAAGGGTGGAGGCCTTATTTTTATTTTGAAAAAAACATGAGTCCTTTTGTTTGAAGTGATTTTAATACATTTGTCTGATCTACTGCCTTTTTTGCAGTAGCTGGAATGTAATTTGAATATATTAGTACTTTCAGCAACAGTGCTCAGGGAGCCTAGTTAATAACTTATGCATGGATACATAGATACACTTCAGACAGAGGTAATGTTTTAGCCCTTGTGTTGGTAATACTTAGAAAGATGGAATGAAAGAGTCTGTTCTTTTCCTGCCCTTTGTTGTGGCCATGCATTGTGGGGGTATGGAGCCAGGGTTCTTTCTGCTGCCTACACAGCCTGGATTCAATAAGCAGTTCTATATGTATATTATGACAATGTGGTCAAGGAAACCAGATTTCTCTCTCTCTCTCTCTTTTACTATACCTTTGTGTGCCTGTATGGCATAACAAAAAAATCTGGTGCTTATTTTTCTTGTACTCATTCAATATGTTAACATATTCATAATTTGATACAGGTTATGTTCATCATATAATTAAAGTTGGAGTGTTGGATGAAAAACCAGCAAGATGTTACATGAATGGAAAATATTTGTCCTTTCATACACGAGTCATTACGGCGTTGTATAAAACTGTAAATGTGACGAATGATCACTAACCCTTGCCCGACTGTTTGTTAGATTCTTTTGAACCCTAGCCCTATTCAGGCATCTCCCCACCACCCACCCCACCCCACCCATACCCCAAAGTGTATGACAGAGGAGGGTGGATAGGTGCTCCTTGGCCCTGGCCCTTCTAATGTATCACCATCCATCGCTAGCTTCCACACAAATCAGTGGCTGGACTGCTTCTACAGGAGGCCTTCTCTACTCCACATGTGATTTAGAACTCTGGTTCATTAATTAATTAATTAATTAATTAATTAATTGGAATCACTTTTGAGGAAACTTCTGAATAGCATTTCAGTCATCCTGAAACTGTGGACCAGACTAGCTCCTAGGCTTCCTGTCATATATTGCATATAATGTTGTTTACTAGTCTGTATCTAGATGTATCATCAATACCTTCCGTGCACCTTCTGAGGATTGTAATGAGAAGTCATAACCAAGATATAATGCAGATTGAATTCCCTCCTCTCCCAACCTCCACCTTTCTCCTTTCCTTTCAAAATTTATTTCCTCAAATCTAAGAAAGTAAAAAATGAAATTGTTCTCCTGTCACAGGTTTCTCTGATCTTCCCAGCTGCTTTTCCTCCCTAATACTGACTTTTTCTGGGATAACTTTCTGTAGGAAGCGTCTAGGTTATGATTCACAATGTGACATGTGAGTTCATACTCTACCTTGCTCAAATCATGTGTCTGCACAGCATTATTCACCAATCACAGCCCTTTTCTTGTCAATGATTGCCAGAGGCAGTAGAAACAGTGAAGGATATCTATTGTGAAAAGTCCAGTTTCAATGTGTTTCCCCAATTTATTTACTGACCTTCGATGTAACAGCCACACTCTTGACCCTCATGAGATGGAGCCTAGGGGGAAATGGCACTGAGCACCAATTCCATATCCTGTTGTTCTGTAGTCTAAATTAAGTGCTAATTAATTACCCCTGGCATCTTTGCCTTTGCCTGTCAAATTGGATTTAGGATATTCCTTCAGCATTTAAACAAACAGCCTTCTATCTCCAACTGAAATCCCAAGAGTTAATCTTTCTTTTTCTTACAAATCCGTATTTAGAAAAGAAACAAATATGTCCATGTCCAGTGCAGGTAGCACTGAAATTTAAAGGAACAAGGATTGGTATTGTCAATTTTGATTAATAGCCCTTCATTAATAAACATCCTGTTACTCGTTTTCCACCTGCAGTTGCTGATGTTCCCTGGAATCAATTAACTCATATAATTTGATTTATTTTACAAAGACATTTTTGGATGTGTTGTGTTGATGATAAAGCTTTCTGTGTTTGCAGTTCTTGATTCAAAGTGAGATTGTTACCTAAGTGCTCTTTATTTTTTAATGTTGCAAGGAAATGTGGCTTCAGGCAGTCTGGAACTAAAAGAATGAAAGTAAATTTCAAAACTTAAAGCTGAATTCATAGAAAAGTATCTGTTGCCTACTGGGATATGTACATATCAGTTGTGCATAGGCGGTGTTATTCACTAGACTGGACGACAGAATGAAAAACAAATAAGCTCAGCAGCTCCATGGCCAAAGGTTATAAAACCAGCTATGATTCTAATTATCTGTCCTTCCACAAGCAAATGAGGCCACATTCCCCCATGAATAGGAAATTAGACAGAATAAGCAAGAAATAGGTGGACGTTTCCCACTCAGTCCAAGGAGGGCATTGTGCAGGCCTGTTGGGTCTTCCCATCACCATGCTTGATCCAAGAGTACACTTAGATTATGTCTAACATTTCTGTCTTCTGGGAATGCAGCAATTGTTGATCTTCTCATGAGGAATCTCTGACAAGCTTCCAAGGCGTTCTGGTAATATGAAAAACAATACTTTAAAACATTGACCTTAGTTTGGGTAATGTGAGTGCATTGAAAATGCAGAGTTGGGTCAAATTTTCTGTGAGGAGGTCAGTTAGGTTTTGGGAAACATAGGGACAGGGTGGCGCTGTGGTCTAAACCACTGAGCCTTGGGTTTGCCAATCAAAAGGTCGGTGGTTTGAATCCCCGCAACGGGGTGAGCTTCCGTTGCTTGGTCTCAGCTCTTGCCAACCTAGCAGTTCAAAAGCATGCCCAAAAGTGCAAGTAGATAAATAGGTACTGCTCCGGCAGGAAGGTAAACAGCATTTCTGTGTGCTGCTCTGATGTCAGTGTTCTGTTGCACCAGAAGCGGCTTAGTCATGCTGGCTACATGACCCGGAAAAACTAACTGAGGACAAACACAAGCTCCCTCAGCCTGTAAAGCGCGATGAGTAGCACAACCCCAGAGTCGTTCACAACTGGACAACTGTCAGGGGTCCCTTTACCTTTACCTTGGGAAACATACTGATAAGAAGGCAGCAAGAGTAGGGAAATTGGAAAGGTACAAGTTATAGGATGGAATGAAATGCTAAGTTACTTCCTGTCTCAAGGAAGGGAGACAGAAAGGAGATGGGTCCCAGAGTTGAACTGCTGCCTGCAGGTGCAAGATTGTTGTTTGTTGTTGTTGTTTAGTCATTTAGTCGTGTCTGACTCGTCGTGACCCCATGGACCAGAGCACGCCAGGCACTCCTGCCTTCCACTGCCTCCCGCAGTTTGGTCAGACTCATGTTGGTAGCTTCGAGAACACTGTCCAACCATCTCATCCTCTGTCGTCCCCTTCTCCTTGTGCCCTCCATAGTTTCCCAACATCAGGGTCTTTTCCAGGGAGTCTTCTCTTCTCATGAGGTGGCCAAAATGTTGGAGCCTCAGCTTCACGATCTGTCCTTCCAGTGAGCACTCAGGGCTGATTTCCTTAAGAATGGATGCGTTTGATCTTCCTGCAGTCCATGGGACTCTCAAGAGTCTCCTCCAGCACCATAATTCAAAAGCATCAATTCTTCAGCGATCAGCCTTCTTTATGGTCCAGCTCTCACTTCCATACATCACTACTGGGAAAACCATGGCTTTAACTATATGGACCTTTGTTGGCAAGGTGATGTCTCTGCTTTTTAAGATGCTGTCTAGGTTTGCCATCGCCTTTCTCCCAAGGAGCAGGCGTCTTTTAATTTTGTGACTGCTGTCACCATCTGCAGTGAATCATGGAGCCCAAGAAAATAAAATCTCTCACTGCCTCCATTTCTTCCCCTTCTATTTGCCAGGAGGTGATGGGCCCAGTGGCCATGATCTTCGTTTTTTTGATGTTGAGCTTCAGACCATATTTTGCGCTCTCCTCTTTCACCCTCATTAAAAGGTTCTTTAATTCCTCCTCACTTTCTGCCATCAAGGTTGTGTCATCTGCATATCTGAGGTTGTTGATATTTCTTCCGGCGATCTTAATTCCGGCTTGGGATTCATCCAGCCCAGCCTTTCGCATGATGAATTCTGCATATAAGTTAAATAAGCAGGGAGACAATATATAGCCTTGCCATACTCCTTTCCCAATTTTGAAACAATCAGTTGTTCCATATCCAGTTCTACCTGTAGCTTCTTGTCCCACATAGATATTTCTCAGGAGACAGATGAGGTGATCAGGCACTCCCATTTATTTAAGAACTTGCCATAGTTTGTTGTGGTCGACACAGTCAAAGGCTTTTGCATAGTCAATGAAGCAGAAGTAGATGTCTTTCTGGAACTCTCTAGCTTTCTCCATGATCCAGCGCATGTTTGCAATTTGGTCTCTGGTTCCTCTGCCCCTTTGAAATCCAGCTTGCACTTCTGGGAGTTCTCGGTCCACATACTGCTTAAGCCTGCCTTGTAGAATTTTAAGCATAACAATTTTAAGCAAGATTGTAGCTGGGCCCAAATTGGTTGGTGGCCAATCTGCCTGTGTGTCTTCAATAGTGAGCAATCAGAAAAAAGGATCGAGCAGTGGATAGAATGGGCGGATGCCTTCATAGTTTGTCCTTGAGCTGAGTACCGTCACCAGTGCTGGGTTTCCTAGAACCCTCCTAAAGTGGTTCCAAAAACAGAAAGCTTCCTTAAGAGAGAAACCTAAGTTGGTGTTTCCATAAGAGAAAGAACAAACATGGTAGAGAGACAAGAAGATGTAGAGAGGAGGCCAGAGAAAGGATCTAGCTGTAACTGAAGAGAGGTCTGCTGCTAACTTGAAGAAAAGAGACACACCTACAGCAGCCTCCTGGGGAATCAAAGAAGCCAAACAATTTTGGTGTCTGGGGGATGCCAAATTATAGGAAAGAGGTTTCCTGATGGTTGACAGTTGCTAAGAGAAAGGATCATTTTGTGAGAGACAGAGTGCTCTTGCATTTTGTGAGAGACACTAAATGACATTGGGACATAAGTAATGAGTTGTTAGCAGCAATAACAAGAAGTTGTCCACTGCAGAGTTGCCCGACTGGTCGAACAGGACTTTTTAGCCAATCGGAACACCTTTCCAAGTGACAAAGGGTTTCACATGGGAAGAGGCATTGGTGCTTTTCCAGGGAATGCAAACTAGCATTTAATCCGGTTACCAGTAGAAGAAAATGTTCAGAAGGAAGCCATTTATTCTCACCAGGGTTAATTAATGACTGAACAGAGGCATATGCTTACATTACACATGACAGAGGGTCCAGGAACTAATTAGGCTTTCACATGCATTTGTTCACCATGCTCTTGCTGTTTGGAGAGGTTCTTTAGCTGAAGCCAAGGTTTTCTTCCTCTTACTTTGCACTGCCATCGTGCTCATTGTATGTAGAGCAAAACCAAAGTGGTCACATAGCTCATGAGCCTATGCAGGATTCCAGCTGAACTGAGCTTCCCTGTACCAATTCTCCACAAATCTGCCCTGAAATACTGGGGAATAGCATGGGTGAGTGGTGAGAATCGGAGGGGATGTTGGGGGAAGAAGCAATTGGCAGAAATCACATCCTTCTCCCTTCCAGACTTCCCTTTGAAGAAGCACGTCTGGATCTAAGCTCCTTCCACTTGCATGCATGGTCCATTATTGGGGTTCCAGCCTTATTGCTGATCTCAGCCATCCTGTTGTATTAATTAAAGTAAAGGTAAAGGTACCCCTGCCCGTACGGGCCAGTCGTGACCAACTCTGGGGTTGCGTGCTCCTCTCGCTTAAGAGGCCGGGAGCCAGCTCTGTCCGGAGACACTTCCGGGTCACGTGGCCAGCGTGACGAAGCTGCTCTGGTGAGCCAGCACCAGCACAGCACACGGAAACGGCGTTACCTTCCCGCTATAAAGCGGTCCCTATTTATCTACTTGCACCCGGGAGTGCTTTCGAACTGCTAGGTGGGCAGGAGCTGGGACCGAATGACGGGAGCTCACCCCACCGCGGGGATTCGAACCACCGACCATACGATCGGCAAGTCCTAGGCACTGAGGTTTTACCCACAGCACCACCCGCGCCCCTTTTGTTGTATTAATTAAGTGAACTGAAATCATCCTCATGATTTGCTTTATCAACCAAGGAGCATGCCACCAAGAATGTCCATGCTATGTCGAAAAACTCTCTGCCGAGCAGTTTGGAGTTACAGTGGTGCCTCGCAAGACGAAATTAATTCGTTCCGCAAGTTTTTTCTTCTTGCGAGTTTTTCGTCTTGCGAAGCACGGTTTCCCATAGGAATGCATTGAAAATCAATTAATGCGTTCCTATGGAAACCACCTTCAGACCAGGTCCGGGGACAGTTTGTCCCCCGACCTCTTCTGAAGGCTGGGGGGGGGGACAAGGGCTTTTCTTCCCACCCCCAGCATTTTAAAAAACCCCGGGACAGCGGAGGACTTCTCCACTGTCCGGGGCGATCTTAAAATGCTGGCGGGCGGCATTTTAAAATCGCCCGGGACAGCGGAGGACTTCTCCGCTGTCCGGGGCGATTTAAAAGCCCCTGGGAAGGCAGGCAAGGGGGACAAAGACTTTTGCCCCCTGCCAGCCTTCAGAAGAGGTCCTGGACCTCTTCTGAAGGCCGGCGGGGGGCAAAAGTCTTTGCTCCCCCCTGCCTGCCTTCCCGGGAGAGCGGAGAAAGGCAGTGCCTTTCTCCGCTGTCCCGGACGGCTTTTGAAGGCAGGCGGGGGGGAGCAAAGACTTTCGCCCCCCGCCCGCCTTCAGAAGAGGTCCAGGACCTCTTCTGAAGGCGGGTGGGGGGCGAAAGTCTTTGCTCCCCCCCCGCCTGCCTTCAAAAGCCGTCCGCAATAGCGGGAAGCGCTTCCCTGCTATACCGGACTGCTTTTAAAATGCTGGCGGTGGGGAGCAAAGCCTTTCGGCCCCCGCCGGCCTTCCTGGACCTCTTCTGAAGGCCGGAGGGGGGGAAAGGCTTTGCTCCCCACCGCCAGCATTTAAAAGAGGTCCCCGGAGATTTCCCTATGGGCTTTCTTCTTGCAAAGCAAGCCCATAGGGAAATTCGTCTTGCGAAGCAACTCGCAAACGGAAAACCCTTTCGTCTTGTGGGTTTTCCGTCTTGCGAGGCATTCGTCTTGCGGGGCACCACTGTATATCCTTCAATCCTGCAATGAAACGTGAAAAGAACAGAAGGGAGAAAACCATAATAAGAGCTCTGCTGGACCAAACCAAAACCTTATGTAGTGCAGCATCCTGTTTCCCACAGTGACCAAAACAAATGCCTATGAGAAGCCCACAAGCAGAACGTAAGTGCAATAGGCATGTCCTACTGCAATTCCCCAGCAACTGGTATCATGCCTTGACCATGGAGGTAGTATATAACCAGCAGGACTTGCAGCCATTGATTGCCTTATTCTTCATAAAGCCAGGACTTACTGTTTCAGAACCCATGCTGATTTTCCATTAGTAAGACTTGTTCTTTTTATGTGCTTGATAATTTTATCTTTAATCATGGTTCCACAAATTTATAACAGAAATTGCAACTTATCTGAGCTTCCTGGATTCCCCCAGATGCCTTTCCCCCCTTTTTTGGGGAAATTAGTCCTACATGAGCCACTTTCAATTCCTTAGATGTGGAGGCCAGTCTTAGTTACCAGTTACATATTTGTTTGAATATCAAGTTCTATAAGAACTTGCAGAACTCTGCGACTTGCTGATTTTCAATTTGTCAATAAGGCCTTGTCAACACGATTCGCCTTAGTTCTTCAAACTCCCTTTCTGAAAAGGTTAGTTCAGGCACAGATTCAGTTCTGTAGATGGATCTCCTTTCTGGGGAAAAAGAGTGTTGCGTGGATTAAAAACCTGTATCCTGCAGATGTGTGCATGGTGTGCTCCTGGATCAGTGATACAGTATATGTTTCAGTGGTGGAGTAGATCTACTTGTCATTGATAGTATTGGCCTGGATACTGAGGGTATTTCACATACAAGGATTTCTATACGAAGAGCCAAGCATGCAGTCTTGCACCCGCAGCCTTAAACTGATATACTTTCCATGGTTAGACAAATTCAAAGAGACTTTCTTCGAAATAGAACTGTTGAGGTGGAGATGCTGCCAAAGTTCACATCACTTGGCTTGGAAGAGAAAGACTTCCTGACATGTAATGTTCACTTTCAATAGAAAGGCAAATATAAACATATTCATACATCTTTGGTTTGGAATTTAATCTGAACTAGAGAAGAATGTAACTACCCCCCACCCCCAACCACCCATGAGCAGCCAAGACCCTTCGTGGCATCTTATACCTAGGAAGCCAGCAAAAGTAGGGACTGAGTAGCTTGGAAAGCAAATGCTATTTTAAACCTACTGTGATTTATACAGAATAAATTGCATTTTAAAAAATGGTTAGCATGGTAGGTGTATTTTTAGGATGATTAATAGGTTTGCTCTCTAGCTGTTTTGAATTGTGTATTTTATTTTTGGTACAAATTCAGAAAATGTTACATCTTTTCTTAAATGTCCTTTATTTGTTTCTGCATGTTTGGTTCTTCAATAGGCTGTGCCTCTAGTAACATATTAACTTGCTTACTTAACACTATCATTTTGTAGGGCAGGACATCTTACAACTAGGTTATTTTCCAGAACATTTGGCACAGCTAAGGTATGAATGTTGAACTTCTTCCCACATAAAGAAAACAACGTCTTGCTTTCAAAGAGATCCTGAGCCATTAATAGCAACTTAAGGATTGATAGGAGGTCCAAATATTACAGCCCATTTGGCGATCATACTTTTCCTGTCAGATATATTTGTGCCTACAATGCATTTAACTGGCATTATTATATATTTGCAAATGAGATTTTATTTCAAGCTTAGATTATTTCTCAACCCCTAATGCCCAACTTACCGGAAAACGTACAGAAAAGTCACTGTGACCAAGAATCTTCATACCTGCCATTTCTCAGGGGGTTGTTCCACGACAGATCATCACAAAACAAAACATAAATAACTACAACATCTCAGATTTTGATTAAAATTTCTATACTGGATTATCTCACAGGTCAAAGTCACTGGTGTGAATAAAAATTCCCTATGCCTTATAGCAGAACTTTCTAAACTGTGTATGCAACATGTTAGTGTGTAGGTGTGTCGCTTGAATGCTCCCCGCGCTCTTCCCAGGGCTGGGAAGGGGTTAATGTTACCTCCAGTTTGCTAGTAAAACTGAATTACTGTGATGCGAAATGATGCATGTCTAAAATGTGTGTCACTAACATAATAAATTTGGAAAGCTCTGCCTCAGAGTTTTTGAGTTGTGCAACTCAAATTGGGTCTATTAGACCCAACATCTTAAAGCAATGTGAACTAAAGTTGCTTATGGGCCCCCTCTGAGATTAGGGACCCTGAAACCTAAGCTTCATAAGTTTCATAGTAGATGCATTTCTGGTCAAGCTATCGAATATTAGAACCAATGGAGATTTCTGTAAGATTAATCAACTGTCACAGCACCAAGTAAAGTAAACTATGTTATCCACAACTGTAAATCCAAGGAACATTTTTACTCTACTGTTTGAAGTAAAATAGACAATTGACTATCATCTAGGTCGGGGTTATCTGGGCCAGTTCACTCCCATGGAGATCACTCCATGGGCTGGATTGTGTCTGCGCAGATGCAATTTCCAGCGCTGCGGAAGTGAGTTCCAGCTCTGCGCTGTGCCGATTCAGTGCAGCGCAGCGCAGCGGGACTCACCGAGCGGGCAGATTGGTTTGGGAGCAGCTCATGGGCCGTTTAAACAATCCCCATGGGCCGCAGGTTGCTGACCCCTGATCTAGGTTCTTGGAGTGTTCGGTACCTAGCAAACAACAGGAAAACTTCACCAGCTATTACTTACTGCAGGCAGCCAGTGTGCATTTCTCATATAGCCATCCTTCACTTTTCCAGCATCCCAGCTTCTGGCTGAGGATCCTTTCCCACAGGTGCTGCTTCTGTGAGACTGACGTTGCTAATTAGCAGTAGTCTGCGTAGGCAGGTGAATTTGTTGTAACAACGGCTGGCATCAACCTCAGCAAAGCTGGAACAAACCTATAGTAAAATTACAAGCAGCATGGCTATAAAGGATTGCTCTCCTCAAATGGGTGCAAACAATTCAGGCTTATTCCAGAAACAGTGCTGGGTCTGTAATGCAAGGCATTCTCTTACACTGGTTATTGGATAGATTATTATAGCATTTTTATTGTCTGATTCCCCCCCCCCATGTTGTTTCAGTGCACTTTTAAAATATTAATATATTACTTCTGATACGTTATTGTGAGCTGCATTGGACTTCCTTTTGGGATGAAAGGCAGCATACATAATCTGCAATGAAATTGAAATGAAATAGCTTCTGCTATAGTCCTCAAATATAAACAACAGCAACATTTGCTTTGCTCTACTAATGGTTCAGTCTTTTCATTTTATTCTTTCCTTTACTCTCTGCTGGTCCAAGACAGATAGCAAAAGTAACATGTTTACTCTTACCACTCAAAATCAAATCCTTTGTGTGTTTGTCAGAAACTTGTATGTCTTCCTCCTCACTCATAATTTCTGGGGCAACTACCATACCTGTGTTAAAAGTAGCAGAGGAAGGAAAAGTCATGATTTTCGCACTCCAGAAAGGTGAGAGTGGGGACTTGAGCAACGGGGCCTTGTTATCAGTGGCCCCTCCGTGACTATGGAACTCTCTCCCACGCAGATGTAATGTGCAGATGGCTTTTTCTTTGCAGGCCTTGAAGTGGCCATTAATGGTGCCTCTATTTCATATAGCTTTTCAGTAAAAAATTGCTGCAGTCCTTTAAGGTTTTAATCAGCTGCAAGGTCTTCAAGGATTAATGTGTCTTAAATGGTATTACAGTGGTACCTCAGGTTACATACGCTTCAGGTTACAGACTCCGCTAATCCAGAAATAGTACTTCAAGTTAAGAAATTTGCTTCAGGATGAGAACAGAAATCGGGCTCCGGCGGTGTGGCGGCAGTGGGGGCCCCATTAGCTAAAGTGGTGCTTCACGTTAAGAACAGTTTCAGGTTAAGAACGGACCTTTGGAACAAATTAAGTACTTAACCCGAGGTACCACTGTATATTTGTTGTTGTTTTGCATTTTCATATGGAAGCCGTCCTCGGAAACTAGACTTAAAACTCTTTTAAATAAATAAAACAAAAGTCCAAGTAGAGGATAAGAACTTCTAAAATACTCATGTGCATGTAGATATGTCTAGCAGTGGCAGGCTAATATGGAACATTGTTAAGTATACAGAGCATAATAAATGCCTCCAGTGGAGATGGTGCCTGGCAAGCTAGAGGTTAGATGATCTCCCCAGGAAAAGTTGAGGTGGCAAAGTATCTCACTGGATTGAAGAACAAACTAAATATATGGTATCAAATATATTGAAGGGCTCTATTTGTGCCCTACTGTAGACTGCATTACTTCATAAAGAGATGAAAATCAAATGACTGAAGCCCCTCCCCTGCATCATAAAACACTTTGCAGTTAGAAAATTTGTATTTCACGGGAAAAGGATCTAGTCTACCATCCTCTTTAGCTTGGTGTGTATATAAGACGGGGCCTCTCATGTGGACCACTTGCCTCTGGTGATTCTGGTCAGGACAGTATAACCATTTAGATTAGAGTAAATGACCATTTCAGAACTTGGCCATAATAAAGACTTCCACTTAAGGAGGAAACTGATTATCTAGGCCTCCTGCTATGTGCAGAATTCAGGTTTTAGCCATGTGTTGGCTAAAGGAGTTGAAATCTTCACAGCTAATGATGATGAATGGTTCATCGTAGGTTGACAAGCCAGTGTGGTATAGTGGTTAAAAGCAGTGGACTTGTAAGCTGGTGAACCGGGTTTGCTTCCCCGCTCCTCCACATGCAGCTGCTGGGTGACCTTGGGCTGTCACACTTCTCTGAAGTCTCTCAGCCCCACTCAGCTCACAGGGGGTTTGTTGTGGGGGAGGAAGGGAAAGAAGATGGTTAGCCGCTTTGAGACTCCTTCGGGTAGTGATAAAGTGGGATATCAAATCCAAACTCCTCCTCCTCCTCCTCCTCTTCTTCTTCTTCTTCTTCTTCTTCTTCTTCTTCTTCTTCTTCTTCCTCCTCCTCCTCCTCCTCCTCCTCCTCCTCCTCCTCCTCCTCCTCCTTCTTATGCCATTTCCTCCCTGCAACTATGGGGTGCCCAATGGTTGTATGAGTGGGTGAGATATTTGTGAACCCAAATCCATCAAGGTGAACTTGCCAGGAAGTTGATGCTGTAATATTCAGTGATAGCTTAAAAAATCATTCCTTAAAGTATAAGAGATTTCTGCTATACAGCCATGAAGTGGAAGGGGGAGTCAACATTCTTATGAGAGGGCATTGCAAGTCTTGCTTTGGATATCACAACACAAAAGGCCTCTCTTTTCACCTGACATACCTCAGGTGGCAGGTAGGTCTGATACCAGCAGGTTCATGTACAGCTTCCCTCATGTCCCCAAGATGGGGTGGCGGGGAGACACATTCAGATTTTCACATGGCAGATTTGTTATACATTCTGTTTTTTAGAAAATAGTGTTTATTATTAAAGTTTTTTGTGTTACACGAGAAACAGGGAAAAGTACACATATTGTTTCCACTTTCAATTCATAGACTGTTTGAGACACTTTTGTCATAGACATCTTGCATTTGGGGGGAAAGAAATGGGATATTGTTCTTTCATTTTATTGCCTATTATTAGTGTTGGTGTTTGTGTCAGCATCACATAGGTAGGTCCTTTAGGGTTTTATTTATTTTTATAGATAATTTGAGAGGTTAGGGTGTCCTGAGCTTGGTTGGTTTCATTCAGTTAATTGCAGTGTGGCTTGTTTGTGTGTAGGGGGAGTAGGTTGTTGGGTCAGCTTAGCCATATTGATTTGTAAGCTGAATAGGTCATTTTCCTGTTGTGCATGTGATAAAGGGGAACCATACCAGGGTGAAGGTGTCCTCCTCTGCTTGTTCCTGTGCTAGTTTGAGTTTGTTGGTTAACTTTTCTAGTAGGGCGGTTTCCCCTTACATTTTCATACCAGTGGTCTATGTTCCCTCCTGATAGGTCTTTTTAGTGTCTGCAGGGACTCAGGTGGCATTGTGGTCTAAACCACTGAGCCTCTTGGGCTTGCTGATCAGAAGGTCGGTGGTTTGAATCTCTGTGACGGAGTGAGCTCCTGTTGCTCTGTCCCAGCTCCTGCCAACCTAGCAGTTCGAAAGCACTCCAGTGCAAGTAGATAAATAGGCAGGAAGGTAAACGGTGTTTCCGTGACAGTGGTCTGTAGACAAACACTGGCTCCCTCAGCCTGAAAGTGAGATGAGTGCCACAACCCCATAGTCATCTTTGATTGGACTTAACCATCCAGGGGTCTTTTACCTTTACCTTTTACCCCAGTGTCTGGTTAACGTTTGTTCTAGCTGATGCAAGTAAGTGAGTTATGAGTTCCTAGTCATGTTTGTGTGTGTGTTGTTGTCGTGGAAGATAGGTCTAGTTCTGGAGTTGCTTCTATTACCTGTTTCGTTATTTTGGAAATTTCCTGCAGCACTGAAATCCAGAAGGACTGAACTTTGGGACATCCCAGTTGCTATTCCTTGCTATACATCCTTTTTAAGCTAGGTATTGTACCTGTAATCCCACTGAGGTGAAAATGGTTGTGCATGTCTTAAGTAAGAAAATATATAATCTTGTCTTCTTGTAAAACAGTTTTCAGGTGGTTCTTTGAAACCCCTGTTGAGAATTTTTCTTGGTGGTGCCAATATTTTAAAACATTAGCATCTCCCTCAGATCTATTACGATTGTCAGTTCTTTAGTCTTTTTTACCAAGCCCGTGATTTTGTATTAATGGTTAGTTGACTGTAATAAACATCCCTGCACTACACACTTCCCCTGCCCCCAAATTGGAAAGTACGAAAAGTACAATTGGTTACATCTTCAACCTGTGCCCGGATTAGCAGAGCAGAGTTAATATTACCATACTCCACACAATCGCTTGTGAAGCCTCCATTTCATTTATGATAAAGATGTTATATTTTAAGAAACTATTAATTAAGCCCGTCTGATTAGTGCCATATGGAGTGTGTTTTTTGCAATGGACACCAAGGCTACAGGCATGAGACTGTACTCTAGTAAAAGTCACATATAAATAGGAAGCATTACTGATTTTTAATTTTTTTTTTAAGCCTTAAATGAGTTTGTGCGTTGAGGGAATGTGGTAAACTGGAAGACTGGCAGGCTTCCATCACAAGGCAGTGCTCACTACATGACCCCACCCACTGATTTGATAAGAGACCTTTCTCTAAGGCATGGAACAGATGATACATCATTCTTTTCCTCTTCCCCCTTCTTCTATTGCCATTTTGCAGCAGCTTCTAAACTAGAAAACAGTTCAGGGCAGAAAGAAATCTATCTTTTATACAGCCTTTCTGGTAGGTTAGCAGAAACATACAGTTGCAGGTTGCCATCTTGTAGATACCATTTGTCATCCGTGTTCCCTTAGTAGAACAATAAATTATTTTTAAAGATCAAGAAGTGTCATTAAAATAAAGCCTTTCAGTGGAATAGTTTATGCTTACATTTACAGTGTAAGACCAACAGAGTTCAATGGGAGTTACTCCCTGGTAAGAGTGCATAGCATTGCAGCCTTAGGCCCATTCTTTGCTAGTGATATATGTGCATTCATAACATTTTTGTAGTAAACTCTTTCAACTCCAGCAACCTTACATACATAGTTTAAATAAAACATCTCTATATGAAGTTGAAGCTGCTCAGTGGAGCGTGACAGACGTATTAGAATGGCGCTGTCATAGTGTGGAGTGCAGTTCATAAGCAGCTGCTGAATCTAAAGGCCAGGCCCTCCCTGACTTGCTGCAAGGTGGTAGCTATACTGATTTCTCTGGAATTTTTGTTTGAAAAGTGTCCATTTATGATGTCTCTTCAATAAGATGCCTTGCAGAGAAATTTGTAGGGGAGGGCATGTTTCTTGTACCACATGCAGAATGGATGAGAAATAAAACTGAGCGGTCAGCTCTTAGTTATAAATGTAAGGGTGTCCAAAATGTCTTAGGTTGCATTACTGAAGGTTGTCTTTAAAACCCTATCATTTAAACAGAATTGTCTTGCTTTTTGTCTTGAGAACTCTTGAAAGCCTTGCTGCTTGAACTGTGCTAACAATCGTTTATCAGCAATCATTCACACTGTAAGTTATTGCTGTTTGGGGCCAATTCAAATGTTAACACTTTTCAAGTGGAGAATGTAAAAAGAAAAGAAAAATTCTGTGACACTGTAATGGTCATATTGCATCACCTAGAAGACAACCTGACTGCAAATAGCATACTGGGCTCAAAACACCATCTAGAAGCCCAGCCCCTCATTGAATTTAGCACTCTACATGAATTTTGGAACACTCATTGGGTAGTAAGCAGCATACAGGCCAAACCTAGCACCACGTGGGGCCCAGGATAGCGTTTTAGTAGTGGGTGAGCAGTGGTACTTTTGATGGGAGTCAAGCCCTACCACCATCTTAATTTACACAGAATGCAATCTCATTCGAAAGAAACACTGTTACTCACCCAATGTTAAAATATCTCCCAGGAGGCCAAGCGAAGATGGCAGTGAGTTGTGTTACTGTCACTCCTGTGGCCACATGGGGGTGGGGGTACATCAGTAACACTACGACAATCATTCCCTCAACACCTGGTGATTTAATATTTGTATTACTGTTTTCCAACAACAAATGTTGAGCTCAAGGCAGCTCACAATAATACCAACAGCACTGTGGGGGTAAACCGTTGTAAACACTGTAATATCAAACACAGATAACATACAAATAACTCTAACAATGAATTCATCGAAACAATTACAATTCCATAGCCCACAAGTATCCCGGAAAAAACCAGGATTCCCGTTTTTGTGTGTGAGAGAGTATGGCAGCCATTTCAGGTGCTGCAATCTCGCCCTGAAAAGAAAGTGTTTCTTTTTGGTTCCATGAGTCACATCACTCATGCAGGAGCACATCTGGGAAGATGTACATCCTGGTTTTGGGACCCAACTTATTGCAGCCCTGTGCTGGGTGGGTGGCATCCCCTTCGGCAGTAAAACTATGTTTGCCCTGCAGCTCCCCACTCCACTTGATCTGGGTGCAGGGCTAGGCCCAGTCCACCTGCAGCTTCAGGCTCTTTATGAAAGGTGGCTAGTAGAGGCGAAGATCGGGGGACATGAAGAAGTGGCTCTGGCTTGATGTTGGTTTATAAACCAGCATGTGGTCATAAGTCGTGTCTAGACCAGTGTTTCCCAACCTTGGGCCTCCAGCTGTTTTTGAACTACAATTCCCATCATCCCTGACCACTGGTCTTGCTAGCTAGGGATGATGGGAGTTGTAGTCCAAAAACAGCTGGAGGCCCAAGGTTGGGAAACACTGGTCTAGACAATGCCTACCGTATTTTTCACTCCATAAGACACACCTTTTTCCTCCTAAAAAGTAAGGGGAAATGTCTGTGTGTCTTATGGAGCGAATGCACTGGGCAGCAAAGGGATCCCTCGGCTACCGCTGCAGTCGCGAGGGATGCCTCCACAGCCGGAGCCATGGCTCCCGTCCGTCGCTTGCTGTGAAGCCAGCAGAGCAAGAGCCGCTGCACAGCTATCACTCTTGCTCTGCTGGCTTCTCAGTGAAACGAGATGAGGGACAGAAGGGGCTCTGTGTAAGGGCTCCCTTCGGTTCCTCCTCCCGCTTTGCTGGGAAGCCAGCAGAACAAGAGGTGCTGCACTGCACTGCTCTGCTGAAGCCAGCCGAGCAAGAGCTGTGCAGTGCCTCTTGTTCTGCTGGCTTCCCAGCGAAGTGGGAGGAGGGACGGGCGGGAGCAAGAAAAGAGAGACGCTTACATGCTCTGCACAGAATAATTTTTTTTTATTGCTTTCCCCTTCTAAAAACTAGGTGTGTCTTATGGAGCGAAAAATACGGTAATATTACAGTGATCTGTTCCCACAGGAGAAAGAACATGAAGGACATTAAGGAGAAGAAATGTGTTTCAACATACCACCAAGGAGAATACGAAGAAAGGGCTCCAGTGCCTGTTAAGAGGAAATAATATACAGTTTATCCACTATCTTGGATCCAAAAATATCATTTCCAACATTAGATGGACCTTTTTCATCTTATTGCCAACATTTCATTTTTTTTCTCACTTCTATTTCATTCTCTCTAATAATTAAATCAAGATTTTAGTTATAATTGAAGCACCACTGGAAAATGAGAGTGCCACTGCATTTTCTGTTTAGTGAAGTTTTTTTTCATTTTAGTTGAATTCATTTTTTAACCAATTCCTTTCTTTTTTTGCCACCAGGATAGCAGCCAAGGAGAACGTGAATCTTATGTCACAGCAGAGTTTGGGGATTGTTTTTGGACCGACGCTCCTTCGGCCTGAAAAAGAGACAGGCTCCATGGCAGTGAACATGCTATACCAAAACCAGATTGTTGAGCTAATGTTAAGCGAGTACACCAAGATCTTCAACTGCGAGAAAGACTGACAGACAGGGAGTGTTACTGAATATATTCACATCTGTCTTTGAATCTAATATTTTTACATTTCTGTAAACATCTTTCTGAAACATTTCTTTTCCCCTCAAGTGACAGATGCCTCGTTTTGTGAAAACTTAATGACAATTTTGTCTTTAAATTTCCAAACATTGGAATAAAAATACATTGTCAATATTTGCTTATATGTACTCAGCATTAACCCTTTGAATGAATCATTCTCTGCCAGCACTCCGCCCCCAGGGCTTTGCCATTTTGCATGCCTTCATTTTACAGCTGGGATTTGACAATTTTGCCAAATCCAGATGAAAGATAGCTTAGAGGCATGTGCAATGGCACCAAAGCAGGGTGGGAGGTTAATGGGTTTAAATTGGCTTTTGAACAATTAAATTGGTGTAGTGCAGTCTATCACTTAATAACAGGTATGTACACGTAAAATAATTTTGTGTGGAAAATGATCACGTTGAATGATGAAAGCTACAGGTTCAAAACATGGTCATAGATTTTCACACAGGCCTATAACAAAAACTCAGCCTAAATCATCATAGGTTGGGGTGCTGTAAATGTTTCATTTGCAAACTTAAGAATGAAATTAATCCCTGAGCCTCGTTGTTTCAAATGCAACAGCAGCAGTGCATCAAGTTACCCAATTGCTCATTTTGAATGCAACATCCATTTTGAATTTTCCAACACTTTATCCGACTTTGCTCTTTCCCCAGCTATGTCATGTTTTGTAGAAATTTTTATTATGCTCCCGAAGATGCTTTATTGGTGAACTGCATTAAATTCATCTAGAAAGAACTTTTTTTAAAGCCTTTTCATATGCCCTTAGGATTACTTGGCTAGACTTGAATCAATTTATACATTTGATGGTTAGTTTCAGTTGTCATGGATAAACAAAAGGGTAACTGTCTAGAATATATCAAATATTGTTTTATTCTGAAATGTATGTTTCCAGCTATACACATCCCCTACCCTGTTTTGTAAAAGTATTCCGCTGATAAAATGTAGACTTATGTTTGACAGCTTTTTAATCAAGTTCAAAGAGAATAAATAAAACTAATCCAGTGTGGTAAAAGAGTCCGCCTGGCTATCGATTTGTTCATAAAATGAAAAATAAACCATGTAAATAAAATGTGTGAAAATGCAGATCGAGAAGCAAATATTTTGAGCAATTAAACCCCCCCAAATATAGGATTAATGCATAAATCTGCTGTGTATGAGAGATATGTCTCAAGTATCAAATCTAATAGTCAGGAATTACAATGTCATTGTTCAACACCGTTTCTCAGCCTACTATGTTGTTAAGCAGTTGAAGCTGTGCTTTAAAATGATCATCAAGGAAAATAAATGTACAAGGATGCTGCTGCTTCATTAAACAACTACAAGCACCAGGATTAATGGGTAAGATATGCAGAATCCACAAGTGAAAAGGGACTAAGCTATTGCTGAAGCAACCACAACGTTAGTACAGAACGGTGAGAATGAAGAAAGAGACACCAAGCAGGAGCCAGTCAGAACAATTTAAGAGAAAGAAGTAAAACTTTAGGATACACATGTCCAGTTGTTGTCCAGTTGTAAGATGTCTCAGGGTTGGTGATGCATGGCATGATTACCTTCTTGCTGAACATGTGGGTGGTTCTGTCATTCTTGGCAACGTTTAGTATCGACTAGAGGGAGGGGGTGATTTTGTGGCTGGAATCAGATTCTGACCCCAAGAGGTTGTTAAATTACCTATTTATTTGTAGATAGGTCATAAAATTTATATACTGCTTGATTGGGATGGGGGTGGGGGTGGGAACCAACCCTCAAAGCAGTTTACAAGACAAATTAATAATATTGTGTCCAAAAAGTGTGTACAGACTCACTGAACTTCCATTTCCCGCCCGGACAGGAATTAAATCAGAAAGAATTGGATATAAGAATGTTCAGAATATCAGCCGAACTGCAGTACTCATGCCAGAAATTGAATCTTGGGCTGACATAAAGCATGACTAAAAGAGAGACATCCTATTGAGGTGAGGGGAGAAGCCGGGGCAAGCACAGACTGTCATGGGAGACTCTGTGCATCCATGATGTACTCACGCCTGCCCTCAAAGTGCTTCATTTCTGACCTTATCATTGGCACACCACCACCAGCATCTACAGGCATACCAGTGTGTGTGTGGGGGGGTGTCCTTGGCAGGGTAAGTGCTCTCCAGCCACTGGGCCGAAGAAGAAGAAGAAGGTGGTCCCCCCCCAAAAAAAATAGTCATTTGATTCAGTACATCCCCCTAACTTATTGCAACAACTTTCATTCAGTGTTTGTAAAATGTGAACTGGCCAGAAAGATGGGCATTCTTAGGGCATAATCATACAGTACAGAAAAAGGAGGTGGCACCTGTCTTCCCAGCATTCAGCTTTACAGGCCTCTGTCTGGCCCTTGACACTCTCCTCAGGCCACATCTCTTCCTCCCAGGCCACACCATGCACTGGCCATGCTCCATGACTGGATGGAAGGTGTTCTTGAATTGTAATAATATATCCTGCTTGTCTGGATGGAAGGGGTGTGTGTGTGTGTGTGTGTGTGTGTGTGTGTGTGAGAGAGAGAGAGAGAGAGAGAGAGAGAGAGAGAGAGGAGGAGGAGGAGGAGGAGGAGGAGGAGGAGAAGAAGAAGAAGAAGAAGAAGAAGAAGAAGAAGAAGAAGAAGAAGAAGAAGAAGAAGAAGAAGAGGAGGAGTTTGGATTTGATATCCTGCTTTATCACTACCCGAAGGAGTCTCAAAGCGGCTAACATTCTCCTTTCCCTTCCTCCCCCACAACAAACACTCTGTGAGGTGAGTGGGGCTGAGAGACTTCAGAGAAGTGTGACTAGCCCAAGGTCACCCAGCAGCTGCATGTGGAGGAGCGGGGAATCAAACCCGGTTCACCAGATTATGAGTCCACCACTCTTAACCACTACACCACACTGGCTCCCGAGAGAGAGAGAGAGAGAGAGAGAGAGAGAGAGAGAGAGAGAGACCGAGAGACAGACAGACAGACTCTACGTCTTACATGGCTAGAATATAGTAAACCACCTACCCATAACGACGTCCACCTTTGTGCACCAAACAAAACATGTGGTCTAAAATGCTAATGGATAATAACACTGCTATTTTTCTAGAAAAAGAGGTGTCAGAACTTACCGTGAACGTCTCCCTTGCTCTCTTATAATGGCAACGGCACCCGCCTGAGAAGTGATGGAACTGAGTTCCGGCAAGTTCCAGCTGGGGGGAAAAAAGCCCTGGGTAATAAGTAATTTTACAATTGGGTTTCATATGCAGAAATGTTGATTGTGCAGAAATGCTTTTGTGTTTGTTCTTTCCCCTTTGCACTAACAAAAACTATTGTCTGTGAACTTGCTCCTCTTCTCTACTTCTCATTAGCTATTGGGAGTTGCTTAGAAGATAACTGCAGGCAGGATTGAGCCTACAGTTCTGCTAATGAGACAAAAGTAGCAGTTTACATCCCTGCACTAATTAAATATGTGATATTAGTTAGGATTGCTATTTGGTCTAGTACTGTTATGATAGTACATATGATTAGTATTGTACTGTGTAGTGAAGCATGTTATCTTCACAGCCATCAAGAGCACAAGTGGCTCCTTGAGAAAGCCACATGACTTAATGCTCCTGTCTGCTGCTTCTTTCTCTCCCCGCTCTCTTCCCCCTCTATGTGAAAACATTGCCTTGATGCAAAGGTGTGATTCTTCATCAAGTGCCCAATGGGGGTGTTTCATCCAAACTCCAGCCACATGATAATCTTGTCTCAACATGAAGTAGCCTTAAGCATGAAGGAAGGTTTATATCTCATACATTTTTAATCCTACTCTAGCAAGTGTAACTTATTACCTTTATATGTTAAATCCCTCTATGTTCTAAAGCTTATTGATATCAAGGAAGGAAGCTTCGCTGGTTGTTATAACCCCAAGCCTCCTTAAGATCACTAACTTATCTTCCCCATCCCATCCCATTTCTTTCCTCTGGTTCTACTTTCGCAGCCACTAACGTGGATTTAGAATCATCACTCCTTGCTTACAAGGCACAGTTTTCAGGTTATTTAATGTGAAGCAGTTCTTACCACCCTTTCGTTCCCCTTAAAATGCAGCAGTAAATGCAATGGGCCCCCTTGCTTTCAATAATGATTCATGAAACTATTTCAGTGGCAGAGACAAAACAATAGCCCACAGACATTTTGAGCGTTAAAACAGAGGGCAATTCATCAACCCACATTCTTTCTGCCATTTTGTCAAGCTGCCCGTGGGTCTGGATCAGGGGTTCTTTCTTAGTTTTGGCCCCTGTTCTTCCACTGCTCTTCTCCAGGGCTTATTTTCTAGAAAAAGAGGTGCCAGAATTTGTTGACCTTTCTTGAGGGGGAGCACCCAGCCAAAGATGTTGCTCTCGGTGTTGTAGAGAACTACACATGGCTTAGGCTATGTAGCTTATGGGAGGGTGAGCTGATCACACCCTAAAACAAAGGAGAGAATGTTTTCAAGGCCCATAGGAACATAAGGGAGTCGTATGTTCCCTATAACCAGCCACAGTCAACCATTTGGCTGCAGCTCTTTGAGACAGTTGAATTTTTTGAGCAATCTTCAAAGGCAGCTGGATGGATACCAGGAAGGCAGTTTCCTATGTTCCTATTTGTTTATTGATGGAAAAGGGTGAGCCCACACTGCAATACGTTATCCTTCTCCACTCAAACAATACTAGTTAGGACTCATTTACCTAAATTACAGAAGCCGAGAGGGAAATATAAATATACTGGAAGACACCTTCAACACAGCACAGGTATATGTTCTGTCCCCAAACTGCTTTTCTTTTTAACCACGGTCTCAGTGAGCTTTCCTTTCTGAAACCATAGTGCTATAAAGTATTTATGCCAGCTTACGATTTCATCTTCTTGCACTAGTATCTTTTTTTATATATAAAAAAACCCCAACCCTTATTAAAAATGCAAAAGGACTTTAGAGGTACTCTGCATATTCAGCGGTGTCTGTGTGTGTGTGTGTGTGTGTGTGTGTGTTTGGGTGAGTGAGAAAGACATCAACAATAAATGAGCCAGCTAAACAATAAAGAAAGATCTCTTATCCCGTGGCGCAATGAATGTTTTATTAATAAATGGTTTCCTTTCTTATTTCTCATAGAACCATGTTTTGGAGTCAATTGCTGTGGTCCAGAAAATTCTTTTCTGATGGGTGTCAGAGGCCAAATGCCACTCTTAAGTGCTGCCTAATTAATTTTGTACTGCCGATCTACATATACATTCCTCTGCATGCATATATCTGCTGCTTCCATTGGAGCAGGGCAACCTGCAGACTCTTAGGTGCAGCCCCAGCCCCCAATATAAAGACAAAAGCACTTAGTAGAGCCATACCGTGTTGCAGGCTTCCAGCAATGGTACAAAAATGCCTTTCAGCTTCTATTTTCACTTCAGCATCCGTATCAGCTGCATTTTTCAAATGCTGGGGACGTGGCTAACATTTGCCTGTTAAAGATAACAACAGAAGGATGCTGAGTGTTGTTCTAATTCTCAAGTTTGATAATTTCAAATGTGACAGCTCCCCTTCCCACACTTAATCTAGCCAGGTGAACTCTAAGGGAGGTGGGGCCTGGGGAGACAGGGCAGATCTAGAGACCTCATAGGCTGCATTAGTCCCCATGGGTCAGAGATTCCCCATTGCTTACCAATCCCGCCCCCTATCATTTTAACTGGGAATGCCAAGAACTGAAACTTGCCCATTCCACTTGCTCTACCACTAAGCTACACATCCCTTCCCTAATGTTTTAAGGCACTGAAATGGGCACACTCATTCAAACAAATGGCAAGTTGAGCCTAAATCCTGACGGCATTTTTATTTTATTTTAAAGGAATTGGTAAAGGTTACCAAAGTATAGCCATCAGCTAGACAAGGCTACATTTGGTGCATTTTTCAAGGGGGAATGATATGGGGACTGGACATGGGGCACTTATTTTTTATTTCTTTTATAAATTAAATTTATATACTGCCCTTCTTCTGAAGATCACAGGGCGGTTTACAATATAAAAACACATAAATACGTAACAACATGACCACCACACACACTGTTTAAAAGGCCATATATAGTTTAATTAGTCAAAGGCCTGGTTATAGAGAAATGCTTTCACCTGGCGTCTAAAGCTATGTAACAAAGGTGTCAGGTGGGCCTCCCTGAGGAGAACACTCTACCAGCAGGGAGCCACCACAGAAAAGGCCATTCTCATGTTGTCACCCTCTGGGTCTCGTGGAAGGGGCATATGAAGAAGGACCTCAGATGATGGTCACGGGGTCCATATTGGTTCACATGAGAAGAGGCGGTCCTTGTGGTATTGCAGTCCTGAGCTGTTTAAAAGACTGCATGAGGCCTCCCCCCTTTTTTTGGGAAGAGGTTACAACTGGCCTTTGGTTTACTCAGAAGTAAGACCCACTGAACCCAATGAGATAACTCTCAAGTGAACATGCATGAAACTGCAGCCAGGCTGAAATTGTATGTACAATGGGAACAATTCCCATGGAGCACAATGAGATTTAACTCTGAGTATACATAGATCAGATCAAACTTTAATCCTTATTCTGTAACTTGTGTGCATTCTCTTTTTAGCCTAAAACATGACCTCCCACATGCTTGTGTGGGGTTTTTTGTTTTTTTTTTAAGTGCAGAATAATATGTTGATCCAGTGTGTAGGTGTGCAGATAACAATAAAATAGGGATCAATATGTTAAAGACAGGGTCTCTGTGATGCTAATTCTGTGTTCATAAAAAGTGCATTAGTAAAGTGTCTGCCCTACACTGTAATGCCTGATCTTCTCCCCATAGATTGTCTCTTTCAGCGCCCTGTTAACATCTACTTCAACATACCATCTCATATTATATTGAAATGAGATCTGGCACTTTTGGGGTCCTGTGCAAGATGAAAAAATGGGTCTCCAGCAGTCTTCCTCTTAGACATAATTGAAAAAGAGGCAGGCACGGGGGCATGCTGTGATTCACGCTGCCAGACAGTGATCTTGAATCATTCAAATTATGAGAATACCGAGACAGCTGTGCGCAAAAAAGATGACAATTTGCCATACTGTTGTTGTGAAAATGAAAATTTGAATCTAGTGGTTCAGTATGAAATTGGAGGAAAAGCAACCCTACCCAGTTATGCTGGGATCTTTCAGTAGGCTATATGTTCAGAAAGTTCAGTGATAATTCCCCAACTTCACCCTTGTTAGATACATTAGACCCCTGCAACCAAAGGAGGATGCAGTGGGAGGTATTGTGCTGTAGATAGCTTGTTTGGCCTTTTTTGTGGGGAAGTGTCATAGCTGACCCAGGTTGACTGTAGTACCCATAGATCTCTCCATCAGCCTTGCTTAGATCATGAAGATTTAAGCTTTCATTGGGGTTATGTTGCTGATCCACAGCATTGATGTGTATCCTCTACAAGACAAGACAAATGGAAGAGGGAAAACCTTCAGGAAGTGAATGGAATAGGCCTGCACAAGTGGGTCCTAATTTGCAATATGGAAAGCATATTATTTGAAAGCACCTGCAATCCGCAAAGAGGAAATGTTAGCCTATGGGGTTAACAAAGCACAGCTGTGTTCCAAATCTGACCCGTTAGAATAGTTCCCCCAAGACACGCCCCCCCCCGCCCAACATCTTCTGACATATATAAAGTCAGGTGTGGAACAGGTAAAGCGGTGGATTCCTGCCTAAAGTAGAACGCACCATCGAACAACTGATCGCTGGCACTTGCAAATCCCTGTGCTTGTGCTCATGTGGTTTGAGCTCAGACCACACAGGCAAAGGAAAACACTTCACCTGGTATTACAGTGAGGGATGTCAGGCAATTGATCTCACCCTCCCTTGGAATATCCTGCAGTTTAAAGCTGGGCTTTGAGTATTTCCTCAAACATCGTTTCCGTAGCACTCCTTAATGCAGCCAACTTGGTGCCATCCAGCTGTTCTGGGCTACAACTCCCATCACACACCATATATCTAAAGCATCTTTAAAGAGCACCCTTCCCCTTAAAAAAATCATAGTACTGTAGTTTACCTCTCACAGGGCTACAATTCCCAGCATCCGTAACAAACATAAAGTTCCTAGGATTCAGTGTGTCTGTTTTTAACTGTGTACAAAGCCTATGCCAGCACGATAAAAATTGAATTGAATAACAGCAACAGCAGCAGCAACACAACAACAATGGGTGATTCATCTCTCAAATCATTTCCATCATATATACCCAGGGGATCCCATGTGGAACCCTCCAAAAAATTTCAGCTACAATTGTCATCATTGTTGATCACAGATCCTACAAACTGGGGGCTCCAAAACAGTTGGTGCGGGCAGGCTGCCTTAATGCCTCTTGTTTGGGGCTGTGAATTATTATTTTTTATGTGTTCCATCTATAGCTCACCATTAAGTTCTTGTATTCACACCACCCAAATGAAAGCAACGTTAAAAGAGAGAGTGCAGGGACACAGGCGCTTTGCTAGGAAGACGGTGACCTAGAAATGGAAGCACCTGCAATAATGCAAGGAAGTCCAAAAAGGGGCTCTTTCACTATGCCTCAGCAAAAAAACAGGTACATGGAGGGGACTTCCCCATCCTGTCTGTTGAAGCTCAAAGTGCCAGCCATTCTCTCTACCCTGCCAGCCTGGCTCTCCCCTATTTAACAGTAATCAGTTTTCAGGTCACAGTTGCTAGGACTGGAAACTCCAAGATGACTTCAAAAGGGCAAATTGCTAACCAAATTTTCCACACTCTCTTTTTCTTTCACCGGGCTATTACTGAAAGAATGCAGGTATTAAAAGAGAGTGTTTCCTGTATACAATGCCGTTAATTAGAAAGCCGGGGTAGAAATCGGGGTAGACATAACTCTTTTAGACAGGTATCAAAAATAATCCCCTGATCCCCATGGATTCCAGCTGCACGGAAAGGAGAGTGATATAAAAGATTCTTGGGAAGCATGAAGTCTGGTTGCTGTTGTTTTCGCAGGCCTTCGCCAGGTGTCTCCGGCACATATAAATAAGCCCCCTGCTCTTTTGCCAGCTCTGCTCCTCTCTCCTTTCTGCTCTATGGTTCCCACATGCCTCTCCAACCCAAATGAAGAGAGCAGTGGTGCAGAATCCTGAGGTGGAGCATAAAGGTTTCTTCCCCATACAAAGAGAGGAGGGTTTGTGCACTGGGAAGGCAAGGAGAACAAAAAGGAGCAGGCACCACGGACTGAATGGAACTTCCCCTAAGCTCCTTATCAATAAGCTTAATAAGGGTCTGTGCAATTTACCGATGGCCACAACACAGCAACAACTGAGCCCGGGCTATAAAGGAAGCACAGAGGCCTCAGTCTTTATCGCTTTTCATGGTCCACCGCACGGAAGTCTCTTTTACCCTCCCCCCCCCAAAAAAAGACTAAGCATGGGTTCATGAGATTGGCCTCAATAAAACCCTCGGCTTGCTATTCTTCTCCTACCTGCCCTTGTTAAGCAGATTAATGGTTATTCCCTTGGATTTGATCCACTAGTCCCTTTGTAAGGGTAGCAGCAATACTCAAGATTTCCCCCCACCCACCCTAATATACAATTCTTCCCACCCCCCCACCCCCCGGCTTGGGTTTAATTTTGTTATCCTCAATCGTATGCTTGATTCGGGAAAGGGGGGGTGCGCGCGCGCTGGAGATAAATATTCCAAACTTCCCTCTTCTGTAAAATCCATGTCATATCAAAAAGGTGACAAGAGGGGGAAAAGTAATTAGTGAGTTCACAGAGTTCAGTAGAAAAGTTAAAATAGAGTAACACATTACTTTTTATGTGAAGATTTCACAAGACAAATCTTGCCTGTGTTTTAATTGCATGTGACCCTGGCAGTCCCACTCTGAAATGAAGTGCCGTAAAATTAAAGATGACAGACGCTCAAAACAAGTCTTGTGATCTTGATTAAACTACAAAGACCACACTTTCTCTCTGCTGCAACTCAGATATGATGGGCTGTTTTATTTGGGGAATTGCTTCATTAATGCTTTCTTTGACTAGACATGTTTATTATATATATATATAAAATACTGAATATGGTGATATCTTGCATAGCTAAATAAAGTCCAAAGGCACATTAAAAATTAGGAGTCTTTAAATAACACCAAGACCTGAATACTTCTGTTCAAAAATTCCCATGATCTTTATTATATGATATGGGCATGTAGGATACATATATAGATGAAGAACAGTAGATCAGTGGCAGAGCACTGGCTTTGCCTGAGGAAGGTCTCAGGTTCAACCCCTGGGAACTCCAGGAAGGCTTGGAAAAGTTCCCCTCTTTGAAACCCTGGGGAGCTGCTGGCAGTCAGTGTAGACAGTACTGAACTAGATGGACCTATGATCTGACTGAGTATAAGGCAGCTTCCTAGCTGGGACGTGGATGGCGCTGTGGGTAAAAGCCTCAGCGCCTAGGGCTTGCCGATCGAAAGGTTGGCGGTTCAAATC